GAAAGTGGAGAAGAGTAAAAAGCACATTTGATGGAACTTGAAGTAGGCTTGTCCAGCGTAGAGAGAAAATGACCCGAAGAATTGTAGCCTGTTCCTCTGAGCTTGACCCGCTGTACTACTTTGTCCGCAGCTATATAACACTTCATATTGGGATATCAACCATGGTAATTAGTAGTTATTATGCTCCAGTTTCAGGGTTTGATGAAAAAGCATAGAAAAAGGGCAGAACACTGCTTGGTGGCTTTGTGGGTTGCAGACCACGGGTCAAGCTTAGAAACAAATTATATCTTTTCGAACATCACTGTTAAGAAGAACATTTATGCTTCAAGCTGCGTTTATACTTCAATAGTAAAACACCGAAAGTGTCATAAAAAACTTCGCTATGCTTCATTTATAGGTTGATCCATATATTGCACATTTCCAGCTTTTCTTATAACAGCGCGCTAATGTTAAGTAGAAGAGATGACGTAATTTACCTTATAGGTAAGAAGAAGATGCAGACAATTGGGAATACCATCTCAATGAAAGGATACGGAGAAAAGCCAAATGCACATAGAATCACAAGTTGCAACAGTTGGCACGCAGTGAAAAGATGGACTTTTCGTTGCGGTACTTTGCGAATGTAGTGAGTAGGAGGATATGCTTGCTGTAAGGTAGTAGTGAAAAATATTGTGATAGTTACTTATTATGTCTCCAAAAGTACCTGTTCGGTAATCAACAACAACAGCCGCTCAAACATCTCGTTGCCTGATAATGAGGTTAGAGCCATATATAAGAATAGTCCATGCAGTACGGATGTTGGAATCAATTGTAGAGGATACGGTATTAAGTAGAACGTCGATATAAGTATCATGGAATGTGCAATTAATGTCGCTAGCCGTGTCTCGCGCACGTTCATGATTCTAAAGATTATGCTACGAAGAAACGACGAATGAGGGAGAAATGATTAAAATGCAGAAAGTAGCGTACACGTACACTTCATGCACATGTCCTTGCGAGACCCTCTCTTCCACATCCGCTAGGGCTCGCAGGTGTAACGGAGAATGTGGCAACGCTCCATGCATCCAAGGTAAACCGAACATCGATAGAAAGACGTTGAGAAGAGCAACAACGAAGAGGTCCAAATTTTGTGCTTGGCCTTTTTTTAGCCTTAACACGCATAGTTCGGAAAACCTTTGCACTTCTTATAAAAAAAGGAATGTACTTACTTGTTCTGTGGATTGTTCACAATAGCTGACGTGATATTTTGATCCATGAAAAAAAGGAATGACAACGAGAATCCTAAGAGAAGGCACACAAAGTATCCAGACGGTGGCAATGAGAAAATATCGGCTAAGTGCATAATTGGCACATTCTCACGAAGCTTGAAACGATCTTCTAGAAAAGCACATGCTATGTTGGTTATTACAAGCATATTCGCAAACTGTGTCAACCATTGACTTACTTGCAATATCAGAGAAGCAATAGGATCCAGTGAACGACATGATAAGGACAGAAGCTGGCAAAGCGTAGTCGGCTAGCCATTCTCGACGTGATCTTGTTAGATATGGCGTCTATGTTTAAGCATACCAGGATTTTTAAGAACTAAACAGAAATCACACATTTTACCTTTCTGAAATTGTAGAGAAAAAGACCAAGCCACAATGTTCCAAACATTAGCAACATATACAGTATTGTCGTATCTCTTCTACACAATACGCCATTATCCTATAAAGCAGCCATGTAATTATAGCCTAATTGGGTAAACTAGCAGAGTGGTAACTGGTTTGGCTGTACCTGATTAACTGCAGATGTAACATTAATAAAACTTGAATTTGTATTGTTCATTAAATCGCATCCGCTATAGTTTCTGAGGAATACTGAAAACATTGATCGCTTCAAACGTTATTTTTCAAATTTTCGAACTTATAGGTTTTGAAGGCACGAAAACAGATAAGGAAAATCTTACTGTTGTGTATGGCCCGTACACTTTCCACAGTGAATGCTATAGCAATAAATAAGGAGAACATCTCTTCTGCCGATCTGAAGGACTTGTAGTTATTGAAGCAAGTTTCATTAAGAAAAGTGCAACACAGTTAAATTACCACCTTCAATAAAGATGTGAGACAATTCTCTTACCTTGTTGCTAATTTCATTAAACTGCATAATTCAGTGGCTGAATAGAGCACGAGAAACATTTGACAAAATAAACCAACACAAGCATACATAGCGAAAAAATCGTAGCCGAGCTCTTGAGAGATTTTATAGATCACTAAAATGGCAGAACGAAATCATAAATGCGTAAAAGAGTAGTCGGATCCTAACTTTTACATTTTAAACTTACCTTTTATGTATATAGCTAATGGAACGGTGGTGAGCAGAATAATCATCGGTTGACCGCCAAACAATGAGAAAAATATACCACCAATCGCTTGAGCAATAATCACTTTTCGAACATCTAAAAATGGGAAAATTAGCAAAAAATGTGGAAAATTCAAAAAGAGGTCAAAACTGACTAATGCCCCCATTCGTATTGTCATCGTTGAGCACACCAAAGGCAATTGCGGGCAGGAGACAGGCAAAGTAAAGGAATACTACAGTTGAAAATAATTTCGACATCGTTCGATGACCAGTCACCCCATCGGTGAAATCTGATGGATAAACGGCTAGTCGCCGTTTAAACTCTTCGGTGAGACCACGAAATGGATACCATGCATTTGGCCCAAACTGAAATTTCAAGGGATGACAGGCAAAGGAGAGGATAATGCAATTAGAAAATCGCAATTAGTCTGACTACAAAGATTCTAATTCTTATTGTCATCAAATCTGCTTTCACTATCGCCTTACGGAAACTACATGAAAAAAAGCTCAACTTAGATTACTTTATGATTGCATTTTAAAGGAGTGCTTTTCGATAAGATATAAATTTGTATACAAGAATGTAGTGCACACATCTATTTTTTACTGCAGTTATGCAAGATTAAGCAACTACGTCAATGTTGATGTAAGAAATGAGGTACAAAACTTGTACTTGTGTCTTTTGCCTATAAAGACTACGTTGAAATACATCATACGGTGCAGTGGATTTAAAAACGATGGGCTACAATAAAACCACTGAAATATATACTATGTCTCCTGCATTTAGCGTAGCAAATAACCACAGCACCCCCGTGATGGTCTACCGCCTCATTGTGGCGCGGGGGTGACTCTGGGTGTCGAACTGCGAAGTACAGC